ACGACAATTTGGTTTTAATTTTCTACAAAAATTAACGAAAATTGGCCACAGAATAACATGTTGCGCATACGTCACAATGTACGTATTAGTTCGAGCTTTGCTTATCTGTGATAAGCATAAAGAAATAATATTTAGTAGCTATTTCTTGTGTTTTATTGTATTTCAGGTTCGAATCGTTCCAGCCTACAAGATAACCACGCCATATAAGCCACTGCAAAAGAACTGTCCTGTCACCAGTCAGACCACGAGCAGTGCACCAAGTTTCTCTTGTTTGTCGTGGATTGTACTTATAGCTTCGGCACTCCTGTTTTCATATAAGTTACAAGAATATTAAAAACAGCACTTTTATTCTATTACTGAATTTTAAAACAGAATATCCACTTCACATGATGAACAAGAGATGACATTCAAATCCTTTACAATTCTCGAAATTTATAAATAATTTATAACCATCCCTCTCTTTGTCATATTTAATTTCGTTTTAAAGCATCGCATGCTTTGTCAGTATTGTATTTCTATACGGCTTTTATGTACGGATAGTGTAAATATACGATGTACTGCTGACAGTACGCAAATCACTCAGGTTGGGGTGGGGCAGAGGGTGCAAGGCAAATGAGCCCGATCCAGACAATGCGCGAGTAGTCTAGAGTATTTTTTATAATGGTAGTTATTGAAAACCATGTATAGTTAAGAACGGGGAGTGGTATTAAGTTAATAGGCACGTCCTCATAATGTACGATAACTAAGCAGAGGCATGTAGAGTAGACGGGAAGAACACCGAAACTCCGTAAGAGATTGAATAGAATAGAGAGAAAATGGAGATAGTGGGAAAAAATAAAGAGTATGAAACAAGAAAGAAGAAAGTTTTGTAATTTCTACTTTGCGTAACAACTAACACAAAAGTCAATACCATCGTCACTCTCTGCACGAGTGGTTATTTTAACGCAAAACATCGTAGTCCGTTTGTTGATATATACGGCCTCTGAAGGCAATATGTACAGATAATGATTTTTTCTGACATTTTAAACAGTAAGACAAATGACAGTTCCGTATACTTTCTTTACAATATCTTGTGGAATACCTAATGTAATTTATGGTGTGTATTCTTGCAATTTCCTTTAACTATTTCTTTGAAAAGGGGCAAGGGCTGGTTATGCCTTCGCGTGTTCGAGATACGTACATGTCACTCTCTTTTGTGTCCGTTGGTATGTTACATTTTTGTAGCTGATCTTCACAAAATAAAAAACATTTCGCAGTGCATAAGTTAAATGCCAACTGCATGCAAGTGCAGACTTGCTTGAGTAAGCAATCTTGTTTTCAACTGAATTTCGATGTCATTCAATCAAATTCTGTTTCAAAATCATGCAGAATCTTTAAATTTTGTTTTACCCTTTGTTCCTGAAATAAAAAGATCTGCTACACTTATATCCACACTTTCTATTTGGCCAGATATATGTATCCCAAAAGATGAGCAACACCTCTCTCGAACGACTGAAAGGTAGTGTTTACAGGATTTAACCGCCAAAAATGAATTTTCCTCGGGAGGAAAAAGCAATGTGCACTTATTAACGAATCATTTCTCTACCCGTTTCTGCGCTTGGATTCGTTGATAAATTCTTTAATTTGATGGGTTTTATGTTAGACTTTAAAGTCTGAATTAAGAAAGATTAGTAGCCTTCCTAGGTATGTACTAGTAACCATCCGAAAGGTCTTTAGGAAAGAATGCCATGACCACAGGTGTGCCTCGCTCCGGCGGAGAGGGCACCTTTTCAGGCTTTACTAAAAGCACCTTCAGTGAGACATAAATAAACTATTGTGGAGATTGTAAAAATGAAAAAAAGCAAAAGAATTTTGTTAAACATAATGACAAACTGAACTTATAAAAATCACGACAGCACAAGTAGTGCGATTTACATAGGACCCTGTTGGAAAATGTCATTCTCTCTAAGACATAAATTAATATTAATAATTACAGAAAGAATCTAATCTGTGAGTTCCAATCAGAATATTGAGCCAGTAGCTCCATGGATTGGGTATATAAACAAACCAATATAAATGAACTATATGTCTGGAAATTTACTTTATTTACTGTGGTCATATCATGTGACCAGAGCAAAATGTAAAGAATCTGATATATTTTTCTACAGAAATGTATGTTTACAATATTCAATAAGAGCTAAATTATCACATCAATTTTAAAAATCTTATCACAGATTAGATTACAAAATCGAACATATATTGCACTAGCCATGGACACTGTTTCATGACTGGAAGAGAGTTATGTCAGAAATTTCACTATTTCCCTATCACATCATTTGCTGTAAACAGGGTGTATGAATTAAAATTCAATTTCTCCTTTTATTTAAAAAAAGAAATTTATAGGAAGTTACATGTAGCCTGAGCCTCAGAGACAACAGAGGTAGGTCTTTTCATTTTTACAATTATACCCAGGAAATGCCTGCATATGTTTCATTGTAATGAAGCATCTTCTCCATATGGAGATTAAAAAAATAAAGAACCAGGAATGTATCAGATCCCAGGCTTAAGATTGCAAAATTAAAGCAAATATTCATACATAATCTTTTTTTTTTTTTTTTTTTTTTTTTTTTTTTTTTTTTTTTTCACGAAAATTAAAAAAAAACATTTAAAACAAAAAAAGAAAAAAAAACCCCTTCCACACACCATTCAAACACCAAAAAACAAAGTTTTTAAAAATGTTGATTAAAAAAAAATGAAAAATTTTNCATACATAATCTTACTAGAATCATTAATCAATAAGATATGAATGAGGTGGATAGCGTTTTGAATTTGCTTGACAAAACTTAGCAAAATAATAGCTCAATTTATCAGGGTATAGGGCAATGACATTCTAGCCGATAAGTTTTGATTTTCATTTCTAGAAATATACCTTATATAAATAAAATAATATAACATATTAGTCTATAGGTTGTCTAAATAAAACATAACTAATATCAAACTAGGCCAAATAATAGATCAATTCAACAGGGGATAGGGCTATGACATTCTAGCTAATAAGTTTTGATAAATTTTTAGAAATATTCCTTATATATATATATATATATATATATATATATATATATATATATATATATAAACAAAACATTACTTATACCTAATTATGTCTCCATTGCATTAGTTATCCTTAAATATGATGGCATACATGATGCTCAACAAATGCCCAACATATAAGGACGACTAAAGTCTTAACACTGCATAGCTAACCAAAATCTGCATAGATATTTTTTTCAATACACAGTTTTGTTTAAATGATGCCTAATTATATTTCATATTTCAGGATTCTTCAATACAGATGTACTACTAAGATGGTAAGAAGTCAGAGGTATCTTAAAATTTTTTTAACAAATTTAATATGCTGTGTTTAAAATTCTTTAAAAAAAGAGTAAAATTTTAAAGATACCAAATTTGTCCATATATGCATCCAATTCTTTGTCATCACTGATAACTTCTTACTTGAAAGTTACATTTTGATTGTAACCTTTATAGTTAAATCCAATGTCAAATAATTATCCCAACAAATAAATGTCAAATTAAAATAAACTTATCTAGTTTATCATCTACCAAACTTGAGATGAAACAATGCCAGTTCAGACTTTATTCGTTGATCACATGGCCCTCCTTAGAAGCATTCAGTATGTCATCAGATGGGGCTGTGGGAGTATTGACTAGGAGTTTGTATTTGTTTTCTTTTCTTATCTTGATAATATAAAACCTGGAAATAATAATAAAAAACAAGTAAAAGGCTTTTGTTTTAGTTCATTATTGGGGGAGATATGTATGCACAACTGCAATGTGTGTGTGTGTGTGTGTGTGAGAGAGAGAGAGAGAGAGAGAGAGAGAGAGAGAGAGAGAATTTGCCAAATTGATTAATGTTAATGAAATAAAATTAATAACTGATTTTGTGGGCCCTTCACTGCACACTAAAATCGGTGCATATAAGTAAGCTCAGCAACTGTCCTAGAGAACTAAACATGATAACATTTTAGCCAATAGTCAGTAAAAATAAATGAGAGAGAGAGAGAGAGAGAATTTGCCAAAATGATTAATATTAATGAAATAAAATTAATAATCAACATTTATTATCTACTTGGAACACTTTCATCAAAAGTCAACATTAATAATGAAATGACATTTTGAATGGAACATTACTGTATGTTTGCATTTTTCCATCAGAAGCAGAATGATACTTACAAAAATGGGACCATAGCAATCACATAAAACCCAGCCATCACCAAGAAAACCATTCCCTGGAATAAACTCAGTGTGGCAGTGTATATGTTGGTGAATGTGGCCTGCCCTGCTCCATATGCCAGACTCTCCACTGCTGCTACTGTAGAAAATAAAGCACCTGAAAAAAAAAGAGATGAAAGATTTGTGAAAACTTTGCTGTAAAGGGGGTTGAATTACTTTGAGCAGATCGGTAATTCTGGCAAATTGTCTCTTAAACACACAGTGACACACAACATTTTTAATAATAGTGCATGGAGGAACTACATATCTTGGCTTAAATTTATGTTCTAAATGTGCCCCAAACAGAATACATAGATGCTGAGCTTACTTATGTCCTGATTTGGTGGGCCTTTCACTGCACACTAAAATCGGTGCATATAACTAAGCTCAGCAACTGTCCTAGAGAGACTAATAACATTTTAGCCAATAGTCAGTAAAAATAAATGTGTTTAAGTTCCTTTGATGCAGGGTCATAATGCCATGCCACATAAAGGTAGAAAACACCTTTAGTCTCTTCAGAAGTAAATTGCTAGTAGTTTTATCACCATTACCCAAAAGACAATGAAAAACCTATTATACCAGTATTTTACTATATTTTGTCTTAGTATGATATTGTTTATTTACTAGTAAGGCTCTTGACATCACCCTGAGTTTCAGAAGACACTGGAAATCCACCTCTCTACTGTAAGCATGCCTCTGCCATTGCCAGCCACAGTGAGTGCACTGCTGATACATGCAGCAGAGAGGAGAGTTTTTGGTGTCCTCTTAAAATCAAGGTTACTCACAGGTGAAGATCGTAAAAACTGAAAATCCTGAAAAAATAGCTTGCAACACTGGATTTAGATCATATGAAAAAACTATCAAAATGAAGACTGAAAATCCTGAAATCAAGCACAACTTTCACCCATGGGGTAACTGAGTACAAAACAACAAAGAGGAAGCTTATGATGATGAATAAATAGGTCACATTACCTTGCTCATCTTTGTGGCCCAGTTTGGATGCCATAGCACGTAGGAAGGTAAAAGGATCAAAGCTCAGGCCTACAACTATAACTAATAGAAAACAATCTAACATTAAAAATCGGTTATACCATAAACTATCATTCTTATTTTTTCAGGTAGTTCATAAAACTTGCTGTTTTTTAAAATATAATATATGTATATGGCCTTTATATATATATTTAAGAATTAAATTATTAATTATAATTTTAAACAATACTATTAGTGTAATAAACAGTGTTCTGTAAGAAAATGATATAATATTAAAATATATCTTATTCAGTCAGCATAAATTATGTCATGTATTCATAAGTGGCAAATAAACTGCACAGCAATGTTACCCTCTGTGACATCTGTCACCTCTCTGTGACCTCCCTCCATCATTACTGATAATAACATAAATTTGCTAGGGGGAGTAATGATGTATGGGGTGGGGGCATAAAGAGTGTAAACCCTGCCATACTTACCAAGATACATCAACAGATCTGTTGTAGCAAATGCCTCAAATACCCATGATGCAATGCCCATCACTATAACAACCACTGCTAGTAGATCATCATCAAACCATCGATTGAATATTTTGGTGAGAATCATTTGTGCTAGCAAACTTGCAGTAAAGCGTCCGGCAAGAAAGAAACCAATTTTGACTGAAGTCCAGCATAACGGGGCATTTAGTTGAAATAGTGTTTGGACATCGTACACGGCTATACAAGGAAGACCTATAATAAAAGTGCACAGCATTAGCAACCTGATCTTCCACAGTCTATGGCTTCCATTGTCTACTACAAACAGCCTGAAGATCTTCTGAAAATTTTCACAGCTTAAAAATTTTGCATCTTCACTTCGTTGAATGGTCTCCTTCAAAAGACACACATAAATTATATTAATAAGCTGCAGTCCAGCTGCTATCAAAATAGGGTACATAAACCCTGTGGTTTCGATGAGGTAGCCGAGGCCAAGCTGAGTCAAGCTGTATGTCACACCAATCAACCCTTCCAGCACCGCAATACGAAATGTCAGCACTTTTATTGAGGATATATCTGCAGTGTACGCAAAAATCCCAAGATAATTTGTGGCAATGCTTCCAAAGAGTGCTTCCACAGCACAAGCAATGGCTATAAAATACAAATCAAGTTGAAAGAAGATGACAACTCCAACAATAACATAGTTGATCAAGAGGCCTATGCATGGCATAAGTATGGGGATTTTTCGGCCTCCTCTGTCACTATAACTCCCATATAATAAAGATAATGGAACAGTAATTATTGCTTTAGGTACTGTAATATATAAAACCCAACTTGATGACTCTCCCTCAACTTTCTCTCGCAAATCATACAATGGATCACTGGTGTTATCCTTCATGCATTGGGACTGTGACTTCTGGCACGAATGCTGCGTGTCGTTATCTCCACATGGGAGACCATACTGGCGAGCCAATGCAGAATACACATACTGATCAGTTAAAGGGCTGTAGGCAGATGATGATATCACATACAAAAAAAGAACACCTGAAATTGCGATAAAAAGACGTGCAGAGTTCTCCTTCATTTCATTGCCTTCAGGCTTGTCTTCACCACTGATCGCTGCATTTTCCATTTTATCCCAGAAGCTCTATGTGCTGATGAGGCAAATCTACCTTTACTGTTCTTCTCAATTCTTGTGTCAAGATCTCTCCTACAAAGAAAAAATAAACAAAATAAATTATCTTGTGATTCGTGTGTTAGTGTTTGCACAGCCAATAAATATCAGAAACCACTGACAGGAGTGCAAATTACATGAAATCTGTGCTACAAAAAACATCATATTAAAACAGCCACTGGTAGCTAGGCCAACAGAAGAAAAAACTTAAGTACATGGCATGATCAAGCTATGCAGACAAAGACATAACATATTACAACATCTGCACACACCAGTAAACGTGCTGCCAATATACCAGTATGTACATGTACCTGTAGAGTACGTACCAGTAGGGAATGTAAAGAATGCAAATGGGAATTCTATAGACTAAAACAGGTTGATTGTAGACGCTATACCTTAGCATATATGAAACTACTGTCTAAGGTGAGACCCATGATCGGCGCAGTGCAGTTGGTCTGTAAAATATTTAACAAGAGATTGAATACCCTGCAGGCTGTAAAGAGTTTACCTATACTTTTTAAAAAGTCTGCCCTCATTTCAGTTACTTGCTCCGTCTGTGTATCACAGTGTGCCAGTAGTAGTACCAGTACAGCTACCTTGGTACACGCACGTCGACATTCCAACACCGATCAACATTTAATTGACACAAAGACCTGCCTTTTCCTTTCGACATTCCAAGACCAAGTGCTTGATTCACATTTTTGTTCACGTTAAGTTAATTAATATATATTTTTCAAATACAGACCTTCTGTGCGTCGTTGGTTTGCAAGGTTAGCTCATTTTACCCCACATAAAACACACATATAGCTGTATTCTAAACTGCAGGGCCCTAGATCACGCGGTAGAGATAAACAACAACCCCAGCAGATTGACCTACTTCACTTACGTTATAAATAACTAACCGGAAGTTTCTTGAGAGTTTCATAAGTAGCTCATCTTGGCACTTTTCCCTTCTTCCGGTTTCAGAAAGTTTCTCAGAGTTTTACTTTTCAACAGCAGGTTGTGACTCAGTTTGCGTATTTGACTTGTGCATCGTGCACGTGACAGTGCCAGGATGATTTACAAGGCTGTCTAATCCACAGGATGCATTAAACTCGGGGGAACGAACAAGAGAGAAGTAAGTGGTGTGACTTCAAGCTGTCATTTGGCAAGAAGTCAGGTGCAGTCTCTCGAGCGTGACTGTGAGTTAATGTAGTAAATATTGGTTTTATAGGGGATGGGCTCAGTGATCCAAGGTTTTCCTTATTTTCTCCTCTTGTTGGGTATCTTGATTTGAGTTTAATAGTTATTGAAGAAAAACAAGTTGTGCATCCCTTTAATACTCGTAGTAGTACTAGTGCTCAACTTTGAGATGGCTATGACTTGCACTTTTTGCAGTAAAAAAAAATTTGGAGCATGCTCGTTTAGATTCAAGTGCAACCCTGCATTTCAACCACTTAAGGTTCAAGTGCAAGGGAAGCTTTACGTGGGCCGATCTGCATGAATATTTACATCATCGTCATGTATTGTACTGAGTATCTGTTATATATCTTCTATCATATACCACTCTTTAAATAGTTAACTTATTATAGTTGACTTAATTATGGAGTTGACTAAGTTGTATGGGGTTCAGCATATCAGCTGCAGGTGGTTGCAGAGTAGGGTGTGGTCGGTGGGAGCTTATTTTTATTTCCAACACTTCACCTTTTCAAAACAGCCTTTTACAGGATAAAAAAGCACTCAGTGCCCACATAATTTTGTTTTATAATACTTAGATAATTTTTTTCTTGGTGGGAAGAATGGACAAATAAATGGAGTTTAAAATTTCTATCCTTTCTCCACCCCCCCTCCTTTATTCTATTAACCTGGGTTCACAAAAAGTAGAAAGGCAACTCCAGTTATATGAAGTTGCCCATTGTTGTTAGCAGTTCAGTTTTAATTGAAAAAGAATGTACTGTAATTTGTGTTTCGCAGGAAGGTATCACACGTATTGACAGCTGTACAGAATGGAAGGTAACAGAGAGACCGATCCACTACTTTCTAGGGGAAATGGGCTTCGCCATAGAGATCTTCATACAAATCGCCATCACAAGGAACTGGTAGACGTTGTAGATATGGACATGCCCAAATTTCTGCCTAAATGCCCAGTTACAGTGGAGCCATACGCTTTTTTCTATTTCTTTGCCATACTTTCTTTGTTGTCAATATTTCCCCAGTATTTTTACAAGAGAATCGGCGAGGATCTCGGATATGTGGGGAATAAGTCAGATTCTGGTGCAGGGTGTGAAGGAAGTAATGGCACAAATAGTACCATGTATGCCTTACAGCAGAAGGTGCAGGCAGAGTCATCACTATGGCTAATGTACACAAGTATTTGCACCCTGGTTCCAGCAATCATTGTCACTGTATTCTACGGAGGCCACAGTGACACATTTGGGCGAAAACCATCCTTGATTCTACCCTGCATGGGCTCTTTAATCAGAAGTGTGTTTACAGTATTTGCAGTTTATTTTGAGTGGCCTTTGTGGAGTTTTCTACCAGTGTGTTTTGTTGAAGGACTGTTTGGTCAGTATGCTACTGCTCTTATGGGATGCTTCACATATATCTCCGATATTACCACGACAAAGAACCGCGCCTTCAGAATTGCAATCACCGACCTCTTGCTGTTATTTTCAGTCGAGGCTTCTCAAATCTCAATGGGGTATTTCATTAAACTTTCTCCTAATTTTCTCATCCCCAACATTATTGTGATGGGATCTTTGTGCTTAGCCTTACTGTATGTTATTTTTTGTCTACCTGAACTCATACAGAAGGATCCCAACGCCAAACTGCTTGATCTGAAACATGTGCTCCGAATGGCTCAGCTGTATTTTCACAAACCCAGGGAGAATTTACCAGGAAGAGTGTGGAAGTTGAGACTGTTATTGCTGGTTTTGTTCCTCAGTGCTATGTCCATGGTGTCCAGTTCAACGGTGGACATGCTGTATCTACTCAACAGTCCTTTTTGCTGGACTAGTACCCAGATTGGATGGTTTAATGCTATTAATGCTTTAATTATACAGGTAAAGATGATAGATTGATCTTATAATGATTACTATTAGACTATTATATGACACGTTTTTATCAACTTAACTGTTTCATGTACTAGTATTTCAGTTTGAAAAGATATTTCCAATATTTTTACTAAGAAAAACATTTTCTCTTACATAAACTAGTATCCAGCTTGATCTTTAAAATATCTGAATAATTTCGTTACTGTTATAGTAAAGTTGAGACAGGTTTCGGAAATGTGAATATTTGTTCTTGTCCTATATGATTGTATATTGTGGCTATATTTATTTGTTAATTTATTGTCTATTTACATATAAATCTAATGATTAACTTACCTAATTAAGGAAATTAAAATTATTTTTAGTGAATGATTTGGATTTTTCCCTTTCTTTAGGCTGGTAGCTTTGTGGGTCTGCTCATAATGAGAAAGCTATTGAAGATAAAGGAAGCGTATATTGCACAAATGGCCATGGTGCTGGTGTTTGCCAACAAGATCCTGGTGGCTTTTGCACAATATGACTACATGATGTATATTTGTAAGTATGTTATATTGATGAGATTTTGAAATGATAAAAATGTACTGTTTCTAGATTGACCAAAGTATTTTTACCTGAAAGATTTGATGTTTGGACCCTACAGTAAAATGTGTCATACATTGTAGGCAAAAACATTTATCTTTTTAGTGACTACACACCTTTTACTATCATTACACAGAGACTGAGAACCCTACTTCACCAAAGTTTGAAATTATTTTGCAATTCACTTTCTGAATGCTTAACTTACTTAGCACACCAAAATAGTTTCAAAAGACCAGGCTTCTTTTTCTCATTTGTAATTTCAAATATTTTTATACCAAATACGCATGGTATCATCATTATGCTGATTTGGAATATATGGAATAATGGCAGTTTCATGTTTTTGTATTCCAGCATGTTTTGTTAACATGTTTTTCTTCCTGATTATCCCAATGTTGCGTGCCTTGATGTCAGAGCAGGTGACACATCACGAGCAAGGTAAATACAGCCATGTGCTTTGTCTCGATTGGGAAGTAAAATCTTATGTTTGTTCACCTGGGTTAGTGTGCATATGTGGGTGTGTCGGTGGGTGTTTTACAAACAAACTACCACAGATGAAAGTCTTCCTGATTTTTTAGGAAATTTGGATATTTTGGTGTTGTATTTATTCCCCCTGGACCTCAAAATAGAGTTATGTGCCTTTGGGCCTTGTATTTTCAATTTTTTATAAGGTCCACTTTTATTTCTGAACTACAATCAGTTAAAAAATTAAAAGAAATGTGAACAGATATATTCATTCCAAAGAAACTTTAATTTTAAAAGCAGTTATTGGGCAGTGATGCTCTTTCAGTCACTAAGTCGTGTATGTTGCCCATTGAATGACTAATACTTGTGCATTTTATATAAAAATGTTTCTTAGATCTGTTGAAACTTCAGTTCCCAATTCACCTTGCATTTTACACTACAGGAGAGGGAGAGATTGATGCACACATTTTTCATTTGTTTTTAAATTAATAAAAGTACCTGCATTATATATAAGAAGAGTTTTTAAAGGCTGTAACAGTGTTACAGCTGCTTTAACAGTTTAAATCATGCACAAAATTTCAAATCATTTGAGTTCTTTGACTATTAATATTGATCATGTTTTAAAGTCAATTATATTGTTTCAATCTGCATATTTCCAGGCTCACTATTTGCCAGCATCTCTGCTGTTGAGAACTCATGCAGTTTATTTGGAGGCACTCTCTTCAATTCTATCTACACTGCCACTGTTGCCTGGTTCAGGGGATTTGTCTATTTTGTGATTGCTGCATTTTATGTGCTCTCTTTTTCGGTACTAAGGTAATATCAATTAGTTTTACTAATTTAAATTGGCAAAGTGACAGTGATGTCGGTTGATTATGATTTATCTCATATACTCTCAGTTTTAATTATTGATCATACTGTGAGTGTCTAATACAACCATGTGTACCTGGTTCTGTGTAATCTATGCTAAAGCACAAGATGCTTCTTGTATTTGCAAGCCTATGAGATGGCAATATGTTTGGATATTTATTCCGTAATCGTAATTCTGTAGCCATTTTGATTTTTCTAGTGTTTGAACATTAATTTTCTGCTTGGAATAAGCAGTTTACTTTTTTGTTACTGTTGGGTCAAAATGTCCCTGCTTTGTCATTACCTTCACACTAATGCTCTCCCACAAAGTTTCTCTTTCTCAATGGTCTTTGAATAACGATTAAAAAATAACACCTTTGGATCCTTGTAAGGCAGGTTTTTGATTTAAAAAAACTTTGGTATTTGCAATACTGCGTGTGTGTAAGGTTGAGGGTAAATAACAGTGAGGAGGGGTGTGTGATGGGGGGATGTGAAGGGATGTAAGCAATTAAAATGGACACAAACTTTGGAAAAAATATTCATACCAATGCTTTGCGTAATTGTTATATTTATTATTATACTTGTCATTTGGCTATGCTATTATAATTACAGTGTGTACTCCTGTAAGACACGTGGTGAGAGCCCCCCTGTGATAGAAGTTGAAACCCCTGAAGATGATGATGAGGAGGAAAGATCAAGAAATAGGGATGAAATTAGTTCCTAAAGCATTTGACTTAAATTATTGCCTGAAGAGCATTTATAAAGAATTTTTTGTCGAACTATTTGCCATCAAATTGTCTTTTTACATCCAAATAGAAATGCTGGGATTTCTTTGAATTATACATTATATAAGTAAATATTATTTATTCTTTTACATTTTTATATAAAATATGAACCCTGTTCTCATCTTAAATGCTACTAACAATATTTAATCTCGGGTAAGTATTTAAGGTTATTTTTTATAACATATCATGTTGTTTATATATAACAGTATTTATATATTTACTAAAAAGGTTAAAAGATGCATTTAACTTTTCAATGCTATGATATTTTAATAAACCTCTGCCAAGGAGGTGGCTTACACTTCTATTTGTACATCACCAGCCTAAGTAAATGTTATGGAATCCCTATGCATTTTGATGAAAATTTCAGAATAGCTTGAAAATTGGCTTAATTAAAAGTGATTACATTGAAGTGGTGATCCCGAATTACTTTTGGATCCAAGAATTTCATTAAGGAACCTTTATCATTGTGAGATAGGGTTTTGGGCCTTGACCCCAAAATCATTGAAAGGTGTTAAAAGGTTATGCATGTCCTCTCAACTACCACAATTTTATCAGTGTTAAGTCCTTGGTGGAGTCTGCTCTCTCAGAGTGCTTTTATAGTTATTGTATTTAAATTTTTTTAAATGCATTTAGAAGTTTTGCATATTATACATGTAACTGTTGAATCATCAAGTTTAAGCATATTTGAAAAGAACAAAAATATGAAAGAGTATGAAGATCTGAATGATTACTTACAATACAAACACATGCAAGCATTACACATTCAAAATATAAAGAAATGTCTTCATTTCATTATTCTTGATAGGATTTTCACAATAAAAATTCATTTACAAGAGTTGGCATTGTTCCATGATATCCTAACCATTGGTTCCATCAAACAGCTCAGAACCTTCAAAAAGAGAAATTATACTGATCCACTAATAATCATCAATTCAGACTTCTCTTCATGATATTTGTTGTATAAACAATTTGGCCAAGACAAGTTGAAATGAATATACCTCTTTTCCTTATTGTAATTTCCCAAATATATTTGCCGATGGGGATGTCCAGACTCAATTTCTGGAATACCCCCTGATGAAAATGTGCCTCTGCATTTTCGAACCTCGTGTTTCATGCCTTGCATAAAGCAAAAACTGGTCTCAAAAAAAAAAAAAAAAAAAAAAAATGTATGGGTGAGATTCTTGTTTCAAAATTCCCTATAATCAATCTGAGTAATAAATGAGTTCCAAGGCCAAATAGCTAAGATACCAATTCCAAAGTTCCATCTATATTATTTTGATAGTTTAATACTTCTTCCTTGACTTGTGCCACCAAAGAGAGAGGGGTAAAAAGTGTTTTCTTCGCTGCAATTTTGAGTGAAAGACATCAAAGTCAAACTCCTGTAGCTGCTGCAGGTAGGAATTACAGGACACCTAAGAAAATAAATATAAGTAATGATAGTAAGGACAGTCAAGTGACTGATACAAATATGTGGGGAAAAAGCACATCATTTGGGAATTTCAAAATACACCATGAACGTTAACTTTATGATACTGAAAATTTACGACTGATACTTGACATAAATTTTGTACAGTGTATTACCATTGGCATATCTGAAAACAAACTGAAATTAAAATGCAAAATCCATTTTAAAAGTTGTCTTTCAATGACTTTAAAATTTCTTAATTCTTTGGCACAAAAACATGCTTCCCCACTGTGCCTTCCCATCCCTTTCTTCACAAGCCTTATGCAATCAAGGATCCACCAGACTGAGTGTAATTTCATTGAAGTGTGCACTTACTGTTGACAAAAAAGTGACATATGCCTCCTTGGGGACATTTGGTTGCAATGTTCTAGCCTGAAATAATGGATGGTATCG